ATCATGGGAATACTCAACCTATAGTATAAAAAACAAAAAAAGAAATCTACTCGTTAACTGGAACATCAGTCATGGATACATAATTTCATACAACATAGTAAAACATTAAATTCTTTTTAGTCATAGAAAGATGACAGATGGATTTCTTTTTTGTTAACTTTTTCAATAGATGGACAGCTAACACATCAGACAATGTTCAAAAGGTACCCTTAAGTTTGCTTTGCCACTATGTTTTTTTATTCATCATATAATGTATTTACCTTTTTTATTGTTTTGCAGTCAGGTGACTGATATTCATTTACAGATGTCCCTTAAGTGATGAGCAGCGGGCAGAGATATCTTCTCAGCACTGACGTCGCCACCTCACTGCATTCCCTGGCAAAGGGAGTGAGGAGGAGCTGTATATGTCTGACTGCTAGTGGCAGACTGAGTCCACCGGACTGAGCATTGTCAGAGCTCAGCACAGGTTGACTGGTGAAAGTGGCTTCCGGGGATCACATATTTGAATTTCAGCTGATTAGCTTTGTTGGCACTGGAACTAATGTGTGCATCAAGAAAATGGCAGCATCAACAGGTAATTTCTTCATAGTCCCCTAAAAAACAGATGATTTGACCTTTTGTGGGGTCCTGGCAGACTGTTATGGACTCTCTAGTGGGAACAGGGAAATATTATTTCTGAAAGGAACTATAAAAAACAAAGTAATAGGCCCGGTTGCAAGTTCCTGGTTACAACTATTCCACAGTGTAAATTGGCTTTCAATGACTGGACCATTTGCTAACAAATGATCAAAACATGTCATATATCGCCAGATAATGTATACCAAGCCTGATGCATGGAATTAATTAAGCAGCTTAAACCCCCCATATAATGTAATTTGTCAACTTTTACTTCAATGAAAGTAACTCAAGATTTTCCGCCACCATCAAGACATGTACTGTTTCGTTGTTATGGAAAGTGATTGGGAAGAAATATAGAGCTAGCTATGAACAATTGATTGGAAGAGATATCCTACTGCATGCTTTGTCTTGCATGCTTTGTCTTTTTCTTAACTTAAAACTGCAAGTGAAATGCTTTACAGAGGTATTCAGAAGGCTATTACATAAGTGAAGCATCTGGTGGCAGCACTGTAAAAAGTGCAGGCAAAAGCCTTACTTGTCAAAAAGGAGTGTCTTAAGGGGAAATTGCTACTACCGCTACCATAGCTATATATATTTCATAAAAGGAAATGCAAACTTCAATTATTGTAACCTGCAGACTGTACAATAAGAAACTCCTGTACCTAAGTAAAAATAACAAAGGAGTCAAATACTTCTTAAAAAATGGTTATCAAAAGCCTTATGAACAGAAGTGGAAATCTCGGATAGTATCAAACTGTCAGTGCTAACAAATGTAGAGATTCATATGTCAAAGCAATCCTGTCACCATGCTTAACAAAAAAAAACAGATGGTGGTTAAGGAAGGAGACCAATACATACCTGTTTGGTGAGTGGCGAGTCTGGCCTTTCTTTTCATCAAGAGATACTGGCACTGCTTCTTTGCAACATTTCTATATGTGTCAGATAGCCTCGTGTCTGCCAAGTGCTGTGGTTCCTCCCACCGGCCATTATGTCACCACAGTACACGGTAGTGACGTAGCAGCTAATGGAAGGAACCACAGCACCCGGCAGGGGGCACACTATACCACACCAGGAGGTGTCAGATAGAAGTGGTGCTTGTATCCCTGGGGAAAAAAAGAAGGTTTGACTCTTCTCCTGCCAGAAAGGTATTGAAATTTTAAAGCATGCCCGTGGTCTACTTTTTCAACATAGTGATTGGGTCATAGCCTCCAACTATGATTTTTGCAAGGTTTAAATCTCACTGGTGTCTTTGGTGAAACCACAATGGTGCTTTGTACTGAAATAATGGTCATTGTGAGGTCCAAAAGAGTGCGCATACAATATATTCCAAGTATTTTGGAGGGACATTAAAAGGGGAAGCTGGACTTTTTTGATCCGACTGGGCATGGATTGGTATCTAACTTGCAGCAATCACTTTAATTAAAAGAAGTGAGTGTTGTAAATGGGATACACGATGGTACAATTTTAGCTACAGATCTGGTATTAGTATTAGTTCTGACCAAGCTTAATATAGCCAGTGTAGCCTGACTATAATCCTTGCAGATATTACAGTGGAAAATGAAAGGCTAAATGTGTGGTGAGATTCTAAAAATGTAAAGGGCCAAATACTGAGATTAAACAATTATAGCCATAAAACTCTGATAGTAAGTTTTATTAACTCAACTACATTGCTGACACTTGTAGTAGAAAAAGTGCTATTACTTATTGCCCTGTCTAGACGCAGCACAGGGGAACAGGGGAACAATGCGAATGTCTATGCAGCCTTTTTCTGTCTAATTGCGATTAGTGACAATTACAGGGATCTGTGCAGAAATTAACATGAGAGCAAGCACTAATTGTAGTGTATTTTCTACAGTATTGATGGCCCCCTGCCTGCTGTTGGAAAATGTACCAACAGAAATCAACGCAAGAGCAAAACAAAACAAAACATCTCATTAGACCTTCTGCTTCCATCATTGGCTGACCCTGTCGGCTAACCCACCATTACTTAATGACTGCAAGTGATAAAATCTCACGAGAAGCACATTGTGTGTTATAACATGCATTCTGTTTGCCAACAGTTTATTTTAATTTCTGTAAATATAACACATTAAGGACAACAGCAGAAATATGATTAATATTTACATTGTTGGACTAATCATACATTAATTAAGCCCCATTAACATCGGTTTACACATTCAGCACTTTGAGACGGTCATGTAGAGGAGCATCCAATCCAATGGATTGAATCTTTAATGGCCTGCTATAGGTCCAAAGTCACAGTGCAGTTATAATTGTATGGAAAACACAAATACAGCCTTTTGAAGTTGTAGCTGCACATTTCAGTATTGGCTTTCCTAAAGAAAAGCTGAGTTTGATGCAAATGGTAATTATTAGTTCATCACTCAATATTATCTAACCTATTAATAATGTTAAGATTATTTCTGGGATAGACAAAGGCTAATTGAAATACTAATCTTTCCTGGAGAGAATGCTGCTTTGATGTCATGCCAGTACTGGTCACAGAAAGCTACGCATTTGGTCACGTGATTTCTGCTAAAGGATCAGAGTTCAGATTAACTAGCCCTCCCCTTATAAACTACAACCTCCTATCTCTTACAGCCAAAGAAGGTGCTATAGTAGCCTCTATTTGGATTGCAGTTGCCATAGTGCTGCACCTGTGATTAGCTATGACATCAGCCATTTGAGGGCTTTAAAATTCATTTGAAAGCCGAAATCAGGCACACTGGCAATTCTGACACTTGGCATGCCTTAAAGGAGAACTATGAGGTGAGTGCTTTTCACTCACCTCATAGTTCTAGCCGACCTGTGACAATGAGACTGTCACAGGTCGGCTCAGTAGATCGGGAGGTGAGCGAACACATACTGGCGTTCGCTCACCTCTCCATCCTGTCACGGCTCTCTGCTGTGACAGGGGAGGGGCTGGATTCCCCCCTCCCCGCTCCGATCCGCCAGCGCTGACTGGCGGAACTGACGGGGAAGGGGCGGGTACAGCTGGCTCTGCCTCTAAATAGGCAGAGCCAGCTGTCAGTCACATAGCTGGGCGAATCCCGGCATAATTGTCGGGATCCGCTTCAGCTGCGGGGTCTCAGTATACTGCGAGCAGCAGCTCTCGGTATACTGCGGCGTCTCAGTATACCGCGAGCTACAGCTTGCGGTATACTGAGCCTAGGGTGACGGGAGGAAGCCTTAACCCCATAGTTCTTCTTTAAAGGCAACTGTTTTGGGAGACATTCAATTAGTGGGTAAACTTCCTCTTTAAGTAGAGTTTTGGCTTTTGGTCATGTGTCAAACACTGGAGAGAGTAGTTTCTTGAGGAAAGGTAAATATTTTAGCCCTACTGTTACTATTTATTTAGCCTTCCCAGCAAAACTATTACAACCAATATTTCAGCCAATGTTACCTTTAAAAGTGTTTTGTCTAACTGCAGGCCCCCTGTTACCTTCATTAGCCACTAAAGGCATTTTTGTGTCTTCCTTTGAAACTGGTTTAACTTTGTTTCTAAGAGCTTGACTTCCCTGACTTCAGGGCTAAGACTCACCCACCTGTCCTCCCTCATTTCAGTGAGAGTTTTTTTGCTAGTGAACTAATTAGTAATTAAGGAAACCATAAAGATCAGAAAGGCAAATAGAAGAGGATTTCATGCTGACAAAGTAAATGGCAGTCACCTTGAGTTATTTTAAATGTTAAAAAAAGGATGACATGTTCCCTTTACTTTAACATTTGACTATAGCTGCAGCAATAAATGTATTTCAATTGGTATTTATTTAAAACATTGAAACTTAAACATCAAATAGGAAAAACATATTTTTTTTACTCGGCCCAATATTATGTTTAACTATATAGAACAATGTGCAGTTTTGTTTCTTTTACAAAGGCACACAAGGCCTCGGTGTCATCTTTAGTTCCTTCATAGTTATGCGTACAGGTTTAAACTAATGTATCTGAATTTCACAAGTCTAATAGCTTGAACAGAAGATATGAGCCAGGGCCTCTGAGCTTTAATCCCACATCCTCTTTTCCAGACTTATCATCCCCAACTTCTATTACTACCCAAGATATCCCCAAACCTCATGTGTACATAATTGCCCCCCACACACAACGCCAATACCCCCTCCTCCTTACACAATATTTTCTTCTGCTTCAGCAGAAGCCATTTTGCCACACAACTGCTCAAGGTGATAGCGATGGAGCAGTTAATTCAATATGGTGCATTTGGACCTGCATGCCTCCCTGGAGTAATGGCCCCGTTGCTACCACAATGTATGCTACCTCTGTTGCTATATCAATGCATGTGACCTTGCAGAGAACTTTTTGTTTGAGGGTTTTCTTCAAGATTTGCCTTGACCTTGTTATATTTTTTCTTAATGATATTTTCTCACCTTGTTTTCTTTGGGCTTCACCACTTTCATGAATGCTCCCCTGGAACTTGCCACTTCACGCTCTTTGTTTGTCACTTTCCTGGTATCCAGAAACTTTAAATTAGGAAGTTTGTTCAGCACAAAGTACCTGCAAAAAAGAACTTTAGATGAGCATTTGCCATTGTCAAAGCTTGCCCTATGATTCACATGCACATCCATCTCTCCACACAATGAACGTGACAACTGGCTTCACTAGAGCACCTGGTTATTGAGTAAGATTTGTGAACCATACTGAACTAAACAATTCCATTGGAAGCACATGTAGTTTATTCATAAACTATGACAACATGTGAAATGATTTTATAGTACAGTATATTTCATCCACCAGCTATATTTTATTAAAAAAATGTATGAAGGAAAAAAACAAACTTGCAGCTATATATCCTAGATATCATAGTAGCATTACACCAGCGACACTTATCTACTGACAAAAGAGAGTAGCAAACATTCAGGTGAGCAGACCAGGTGGGGCAAGCACTAAACATGGATTTTAATGATTAGATGAAAGAGGCCATCCAAAGGGGACAGTAGTGACAAAGGCGCCGGCAGAAACAGAAGCAAGTTTGTCATCACTGTCTGGGTACGGATCACAGCACAGGACGAAAGGAGGACTCAGCCACTCTCATTCAGTTGGGACACGCAGGAGGACAGGAGATGACAGCTTCTGTCTACTCAAGACTTTCTGTCTAGGGAATTTAGTACTTGCAAAAGGTGAAGCGTGAAGAGCAGGCAAGTGATATCCTGTGACTGTAAGGCTAACAGTGGCGGTCCCTGCCCACCAGACATTCTACCATTTAACCTGTACACAGACACATGTACTCATCTAACTAGGCAAGTTTTATTTCTGTAATATGCTTTCCATTATCATAGCAAGCCTGCTCTGTGCGCAACCCTTTAAAATGTTGCAGCTAGTACTTTCATATACTAAGGATCAGAAAGTTTAATTGACAAAGCCTGTAATAAATTGATGACAGCCCTTGTGACGCACCATAGATTATTACTCATTCTGTCTAAAAATTAAGCTGCAATGAATTAGTCAAGTGAGATGCTTTTTATCAAAGTGCGATACATGTGTCATACTGGCATTCAAAGAAGTTAGTTATCAAACTGGCCAAAACATTTTCTGCTTTAATAAAAATGATGATATGTCATCTTGCTAGAGTGAAAAACATGTGATGAATAGCAGAGATGATAGTCTGGGAATATTGGATAGGGAGTATGGAAGCACAAAAGTCACAGCATTTATCAATATGTTTGTTGTGGATCTTCCGTTTGCGTGGCATAATATTCCGGCTCTAGTGCAGATCACTACACATCCTCTGTATTTTCGTCTTCACTTCCTGGTTATATTTCAGACACACAAACAGACAGTGTATTGTTTCGTAGCCAAATATTTAACTGCTTCAGGTGCTGCTACAAAACATAAAAATGAAAGACCTGGAGGCTTAGCCAGCTGGTTTGTTTAGCTTTCCCTTTTGATGTCATGTAATACATGTGAAAATGGCCTAGAGCATATTCCCTCAAACAAGCAATAGTTGAGTCATGAAGCAGTTCACCTAGACCACAGTGAACTTTATTCTCAGGTTAAGTATTTGTTACTGTAGTGAGAGAAGTAAAGTAAATGTCAGTTACTTCCCGTTAACAATGACATTGGTGCCACTAAAGTTATTCTGTAATCACTGTAATGTTAACAATAAAACTACAGGTCACATCTGACAGAAGGACACGGCTACCTGAGTCATTGTCAGTATAATCGAACATTTTCCCTTGCAATCACAAATATAAAGGAAGCATTAAAGCTAATCTCCTAGAAGATATAAAATACACAAATGAATGCAGCCCTGTAATGTTAAATACATTCTTAAATGTATTTTTAATGAAGCAGCGAACATATCTTAATCTGACTTGATACCAGCCCCTTGCAGTCGCTGTACAGTAGAGCTCAGAGAGGGGGAAGGGAGAAGCAGCACAAGGCATGTGTTTCAGTGCAAACAGCATGCTGTTAGGAGGAGAGAGTACTCTCCTGAAGGCAGAGCTGTGTAAATTTCAGGATAGACAGAAATTCAGCTAAAACAGCTCACATACATATTTCATCGGTGTATTTAACGGTTTGCCTGGAGATAATACAATTTATCTTGTATCATTTCTTTATTTTATTTTGCTTTTACAAATACATCTAATGTAATAGCCCTCTATCTCCTATGCGTTAGATGGCTACTTTCATACATTGGCAGGTCTAGGTGATACACTTATACTGTCTGTGGCTACCTTAACTGGCTGTGTGCAACCAGAACCATCAAGATGTGTAATATCCAAAGACCAGTTTAACCTGAGAGAAGCTTACTTTAGGTTAGGCTTGGTGTCAGTCAGTGTATTTGTAAATGTCACAAAGAAAGGCAAGATTGATATATTGTTGGAAGAACTGACAATGCTTGAATGTTCCATCTGAGGAAGAAGGTATCTTAAACCTTTAATCCCATCTGTTTTTTTTTTAAAAGAGACCAATATTTGACTTATAAGGTGCATATGTTCTGTTCCATTGACAGCAAGCGAAAAATCAGCCAAACTTGTAGTTAGAGTTTCTCTCTCTAGCTATTAGTCTGATTTGGCTATATGTTTCTAATTATGTACTGATTGTCTATCACATCTGTGTATACTACGTGTCCTAGGGTAAAAATATAGAAGGTATATGTGCAAGACCTCCTCAGGCTATTGCTGTATTCAGCCAAGAATAAATAGGAGCCTCTGTTTGTATGCAGAGAATATGTAGTTCTAAATAGCTACCACTGGAATTTGGCCATATTCTAAAGGAATGGTTATTTTGGCTGTGGGTATCTGTGAGCCACTTGTAAGGAAAATATGCCTGCCAGACTGAAAACAACATACCTGTACTTTGCATCAGAGATTTACGAAGTTGTATATTGTGCCCACAAAAGATGACCAATTTAAACTCTAGGCATAAAGACACCACCAACCTGTATCGCTGATAGTCATCTTCATCTTTTTCTGTGCTAACAAGTTCGTTGGGACAGGCCTGGTTGCCAAGCAGGCTAAGGTACTCCAAGGATGGGGCAGATGCAGACAGTGAGTCCAGAAAATAGTCCAGCTCTGTCAGGTATCACAAGAAGTGTTAAGGAATGTATTATTTCCACATCTGCTACTTAACAATCCTTTTCTAAGCTGTCTAGTATTCCTTACCTTGGATGGACCATTCCTCTGGTCTAGCTCCTTTTCTCTAGGCCACAATATGCCATACAATGCCACCCTAACAGTCATTTCTTTTTTTTTTTGCTTTAATCCTTTATAGCAGCCTTTCTCAAACTTATTTTACATGGCAGGAATCCTTGAAAAAAATTAAGGTCTGGGGAACCAATTACCCACAAAAGAATTTACAGAGCTACAGCTTATAGGATGTTAGTGTAAATATAGAGTATTATAGAGTATGTAAATATGGAGCATATATATATATAT